TTGGCACTAGTTCCAACTGTGTATATCCACATGCAGAAAAATGAATCAACACTGACCAAACGTTTTCCCCTAAAATTAACACAAAATGGATCATAGCTCTAAATGTAAAATGCAAAAATACAAAACTTTTAGGAGAAAACATATGAGAAAATCTGAGTAACCTTGAGTTTGGTGATGAGTTGTTACATACAACACCAAAAGCAAGATCCATGGGAGAAAAAGTCAATAAATTGGACTTCATGAAAAGCAAACACTTATGCTATGTGAAAGACTCTGTTAGGAGAACGAAAAGACCAGTCACAGAATGGGAGAAAATATTTGCAAGACACACATGTGATAAAGAACCTTATCCAAAATATACAAAGAATCCTTAAAACCCAACAAGAAAACAAACACTTCAAAAAGCAGATAAAAGTTCAGTATCACATGTTGTAAGAGAACTACAAATTAAAACGATTATGAGACTACTACACATCTACTAGAATGTCTAAAATCCAAAACACTGACAATACCACATGCTGCTAAGATATGGAGCAACAGGAACATTCATTTAGTGCTGGCAGAAATGTAAAATGGTATAGACATTTTGGAGGAGAGTTTGGCAGTTTCTTACAAAAGTAAGCATAGTCTTATATAATCCAGCAATCACATTCCTAGGTATCTACCCAAATGAGTCTAAAACTTAAGTCCGCACAAAAAGCCTGCATATGAATGTTCATAGCTGCTTTACTGAAATTTGTCAGAACCGGAAGGCAACCAAGATGTTCTTTGATAGGTATATGGATAGACAAAACTGTTGAACATCCATACAATGGAATACACAGAGATAAAATGAAATGAACTATCGAGCCCCCAAAAGAAATGGAAGAACTTTAAGTGCATATTGCTAAGTGAAAAAAGCCAAAATGAAAAGACGACGCACTCTATGATTCCAACTATATGACATTCTGGAAGAGGTAAAAACTATAGGGACAGTTAAAAAAAAAATCAGTGGGCCGGGCATGGTGGCTCGCACCTGTAATCCCAGCACTTTGGGAGGCAGAGGTGGGCAGATCACTTGAGGCCAGGAGTTCAAGACCAGCCTGGTCAACATGGCAAGACCCCATCTCTACTAAAAATACAAAAATTAGCCGGGTGCGGTGATGTATGCCTGTAATCCCAGCCATTTGGGAGGCTGAGGCATGAGAATCTATTGAACCTGGGAGGTGGAGGTTGCAGTGAGCAGAGATCACGCCAATGTACTCCAGCCTGGGTGACAGAGTGAGACTCTGTCTCAAAAAAAAAAATAGTGGTTGCCAGGGGATTAGGGTAGGGAGGAGGATGAACAGGTGGAGTACAGGGGCCTTTTAGAGCAGTATATGATATGGTAATGGTGGATATAGGACACTACGTATTTGTCAAAACCCATACAACTGTACAACACAAAGGGTGATTCCTAATGTAAACTATGGATTTTAGTTAATAATTATAATGTATCAGTATTAATTCACCAATTGTAACAAATACACCACACTAACACAAAGACGTTAATGGTAGGCAAAACTGCGTGTGGGAGGGAGAAGGGGTAAAAGGGAATTCTCTGTATTTTCTGTTTAATGTCTCTGTAAATCTAATACTGCTCTAGTAATTAATAATAGAAATACTAAACCTGAATGAAAGGTCTGGTTGTGTAACTGAGGCTTGCTGACTGATGCAACTCCATGTAGAGTGACAGGACAGCTAGCCAGCCATTTTCTTGAGGAAAACTTGAAGCATCAATCTATTTAGGGTTTATTTCTCTGAGATCATTCAGTGTCTCAAGAAAATGAACCTGTCTCCTTCGTGGGAAGTGAGTGCGTCTGATGGCTGCCGGAAGGGGGAAGAGGAGCACAGGGAATCCTATCAGCAGACTTTCCCCAAATCCTCATTTTCAGCCCTGTGTTTTACTCCCCTCCCCTTGTGTCTGAGTCATTCCTCTGCTAAAAATCTTGATGACAACTGATTTTAGAATAAAATCCAAACTCCTTATCATGAATTACCAAGCAATTAAAGACACAGTCCCTGCCTATCTCTCAAATTTCAGCTCCGTGATTTTTCTTTATTCTTATCCTATGTTCTGAGTACACTTAAAAAACTTGTAACTTCCCAAATGTATCATGCTTTCACCTCAAAGTCTTTGTGTATATACAATAAATCCTACCTCCTTTCTTTCCTTGATTTCCTTAGACTCTTTTAAGAATCAGACATCTCCTCTTCCAGGAAATCTTTCCAAATTCCCTAGTCTGTTTCAGGTATACACTTTTATTGGTACTCCTTTGGTCATATATAGTCATAAATACAACTCAATCTAACTTACTCAAAAAAGTTAATTATTGTAAAGATGCTAGGGTATTTCACAGATCCAAAAAGAGGAATGCTAGTAAGTCTCAAGAGTCACAATGAAGGACTGAGGTGCATCAGCTTTTTCTCTCCAGGTCGCCTCCTCTCCCGGTCTCTATGCCTTGAATCCTCTTTATACATTTATCCGTTGGTGTGTCTCTTCTTAGAGTCTACTACATTCGTCTCCTTCTCTCTACAGATTATGCTTTTTCACTCTTCCAGTCCATATAATGGAAAAACAGGAACTGTCCACTCCTGAAATTTGTACCTGATGTAATCCAGAGACTTAATGAGAGACTTATAGGTCTTTTCCAAGTTCAGTTCTAAAATGTCCTGGAAAGCACACCGATCGGCCTTGTTTAGGCCATTTGCTCACCCTGAGTCAATCAGCTGGACACAGGAGGCAGGGTGACACTTTCCCATGGCTGCTCCTGCTCTTATGCAGATTAAGTATAGAAATGTAGGTATGGCAATTATCCTATATTCAGAGCAGATAATCCTGAAGGTGGCCACTATTACTTGCATAGAGCCCTATGAATAGTTGTATCAGAACATTTTTTTGTCTCTCAGATAAGAGCTATTATGGGTTCAGAACTATGCCTTTCATCTAAACAGCATAATGTACAATTAATATATTTAATTAATAATGAACTCAAAAGACCAGGGACATAAACAAATAAAAAAAGCTTACATGACATAATAAAAAAAGAATACGAATTAGGAAGTGAGAGACTTAGGGGGTGGTCCAAGTTCTGCCGCTAATGATAGGTTAAGAACTCAACTTCTCTATACTTCAGTTTCCTCTTTCTTCAACAGAAATGTTTATAGTAGCCCTGCCTACCTCAAGAGATTGTTGTGGGCTTCAAATGAAATGATATCTGTGAAAGCACTTTGAAAAATAAAAATATCTGTACAAATATAAGGTAGCATAATTACAGTAATCACAAACATGCAAATGAGGAATTTAAGAAATAGCATACCTTCCTGATAAGTGGGAGTTAACAACCATTGAAAGTAGAAAATGATAAGAAAAAATTATAATGAATGCCAGTATAACTCAAAATAAAGTGAAAATTTTCAAATATCAAGAGACTTCTAGTCTTGAAATATAAAAAACTTTAAAAATCATGTTTTTGTCAAGAGAAAAACATGTTTTTGTTATAATTTACATATCATAATGTGGTTAAAGCTCAATGGAAAGCAAAATGTATAACACAGAGAGAACCCATTTGGCTTTACGATTTCATTTCTTCTAACTTATTTGGAAAAGTATTCCTGCCCTTTGGATACATTACTTTATATATGATTAGAAACCTCATAAGTAATGTGCTTTAAAATGGATATGTGAAGCAGTCTATATCAAAGAATTATTCAACACATGATAACTGTTAAGATCAAATTAAATAATACATGTAAAAATGTATTCTGGCTGGGCACGGTGGCTGCCGCCTGTAATCCGAGCACTTTGGGAGGCCAAGGCAGGCAGATCACCTGAGGTCAGGAGATCGAGACAAGCCTGACCAACATGGAGAAATCCTGTCTCTACTAAAAATACAAAATTAGCCAGGCATGGTGGTACATGCCTCTAATCCCAGCTACTCGGGAGGCTGAGGCAGGAGAATCACTTGAATCTGGGAGGCGGAGGTTGCAGTGAGCCAAGATCACACCATTGCACTCCAGCCTGGGCAACAAGAGTGAAACTGTCTCAAAAAAACAAAAGCATTCTAAATGACAGTATACCATGTGATGACAAAGACTACAGGATGTAGTCTTCTTTATCAGAAAAGCCCCAGAAGCTTAATATCAGATGGGAAGGAGAGCTTGGTGAGTCTTAAAAGAGAACTGATAGGAACACTCTTGATTGAATAAAAATCATTTGAAAATTATAAGGACTAATGGCATCATATTATGGTTTGTTTTGTGTGTGTGTGTGTGGGGGGGGCAGGGTGCATGCACATGTACGCCTATACTGAATAAAGTGAGGAAAGACAAAATGGATTCTGAGTATGATTCCTATTGTTCCCCCAAGAACGCTCACAGGTTTTTTTCTAAAAATGTATCTTGGAGTATTCTGAGTGTTCTCTTTTGATGAAGCTGAGAAGGTTCAGGCTTTTTTGCTGAAAGAAACAAACTGAAATGATGCTTCCTACAAAAGTTTCGGACACAAAGCCAGCTAGAATTTAGAGTCAAGGATGAGTATTCAAGACAAAAATTATTTTAGGATGAGTTAGAAAGCCTAAATAACAACCAACGCTTAGGAAATCCCTGTACTAATTTTTAGATTCTTTTTGGAATCTAAAAGCTGGAAAAAATCTAATCAGCTGGAAAGAAATGATAACTGCCTCCCAGTTATCAAACCAATAGGAAACTTGTATATCTATATCCCAAGGCAACAGGGAATATCTGAAGGCTGCACGCCCTAACTGAAGGTCACCAGCTTATGTCAGGCAAAGTCACACCAATAAAATGACAGAAAAGATTCAAGAATGAGGGTCAGAAGTTAGATATTTACATATTTAGCTATTGCCAAAAATTAGCTGCATTATGCTTGAGATCCCTTTACACTTTAGCCCAATTGACTATTATCACTAAAATGTTAGTTGTAATCAATCAATATTTAATATTCACCCCTTTTAACTCACCTGTAAAATTCTTTGCAAGATTGATGGAAGGGCAATAAATGCTGCCATGCTATTTAAAACTTGCATGGTCAAAGATTTCAGAGCTGTTATAACAAAATATTAATATTAAGGTTAGTTTAAAATAAGAGTTTTCAGTTTTTCCTGTGAGTCTGTGGAAAACAGTGGATTTATACAGCTTCTTAGAAACTTAGCTAACCAAGGCCTATTTGAGATTTTAAAATTAACTGTTGACAAGTTATAAAGACTACCATTATTTAAGATAAATTATAGGAGTGGAACAACAGAAAGAAATATAAAAGATGAGATCAACCATACTGTATGGTTTCATTAAGGAAAATCATAAGAATATGCTATTGAAAAAAGATACCATCCTGATAGTTTCTGCAGACAAATATTGGATTGATGATATAGGTGGACTCAGTCATTTGAATTCTGAAGAACTTACCTTCAGAGTGTAGATGAGGAATGGCTGAACTGGACAGCTTCTGAGGAGCCATCATTGCCTCCAATAATGGAAACCAAAGTGCCTATAATGTCAGAGAAAATCAAAGAAAAACAGATTTCATTTTTTCATTGGTCAAACAAAACAATGAAAAACAAAAGAATAACTAACATCACCATAATGTTTTACAGGTTGAAATGTACTTCTCACATACCATTTGTTTGTAAAAATAAGAAAAATAAAAATGGAAATATTTGGGGCAAAAAAAAGAGAGACAATACAAAGCAGAAACCACAGCTAGAACAGGCATCTTTATCATGAAGCCTTGGGAAACATAAGGAGGCCAAAGTTAAGTAAGTCTAGGCCTTGGAACTGCAATCTGACTTGCCTCAGGGGAGGGCAGGTTCAAAGAAGCCAGGAAAGAGCCTCCTGCTAGATTCTTATCTACTCTATTAAAAATTTATCACTGACAAAGTTTAAAATAACCCTATTGCTGCATAAAGAAAAAAACACACCCACCAGCTGTCCCCCACTCAATTTTCTTTAGCTATGTCAAGCAAGAAAAATGAGTAAAGGTTATCCAAAGTTTTTTCCACATCAAGCATTATCTTATATTTCCCAAGTCATCACGGACCAGAAAATAGAAGTTAAAACTGTATCAGTTAACATGATCAACCATGTCAAGAGATTTTTAAAAAAATCTATCATTTAGTCATATTACATTAATCACTACTAAATGCTTTACATTTACATTTTTGCATTTCAATCTCATAATAACCTTACACAGTAGGTATTATATTCACCAGAGATATGAAATTGAGGCTCACTGAAGTTAAGCAATTTTTCAAAGACCACACAGCCTGTCAATTACCTGACTCTAAATTCTGTGTTCTTCCTAAGCCTTAGGAAAAATATTCATTATAAAACTGAATGGCCAGGCATGGTGGCTCAAGCCTGTAATCCCAGCACTTTGGGAAGCCGAGGCAGGCAGATCACCTGAGGTCAGGAACTCAAGACCAGCCTGGGCAACATGGTGAAATCCCATCTCTACTAAAAATACAAAAAAATTAGCCGGGCATGGTGGCAGGTGCCTGTAATCCCAGCTACTTGGGAGACTGAGGTAGGAGAATCACTTATAACCAGGAGGCAGAGGTTGCAGTGAGCCAAGATTGTGCCATTGCACTCCAGCCTGGGCAAGAAGAGTGGGACTCAGTCTCAAAAAAAAAAAAAAAATGAACCCACTGCTGCCCTGCCCCCATGAAGATTCTGCCACCCACCCCTGCTGGTGTGCAGTGCACCCCAAACCACTGCTGTCCATCTTGGCACAAGCATGTGCACCTGTCATGCCACTGTTGCTGCTGGCACACACACACACAAGGATGGACTCCACAGTCACTGCCTCAACAAAGTGCTTTAGCTGGCATCCCCCACTGCAGCATTGTTAACCAGCTGACCAGAAACATTTTAGCTCCTCCAATGCAGCAAGTACATAAGTTCGAGGGGCCAGAGCACAAAGCCATAGGTCTGGTCTCAGCCGCTAAGTGTTAGAACAAGCTGCCCAGTAGTGTTGAGCTGAGCCTTGGCGCCCTGAAATCTTCCAGAAATGAAGACAGTTGACTGACCCCACATTATACCACAGTCAAACCTTCAAAGGCATCAAAGAATACAAAAGCAAAAAATGCCATCCAAAGTACAGCAACTTCAAATATTAAAGGTACACCAGCTTATACAGATAAGAACGAACTCTGGAAACTCAAAAAGCCAGAGTTTCTTCTTAATAGCAAACAACCCCACTAATTCCCCAGCAATGGATCTTAACCATGCTGAAATGGCTGAAATGACAGATACAGAATTCAGAATTTGGATAGGAATGAAGATGTTTGAGATGTGGAAAAAGTTGACTTCAAATCCAAGGAATCTTAGGAATCTAATAAAATGATACGAGCTGAAAGAGGAAATAGCCATTTTAAGGAAGAACCAAACTGATCTGTTAGAGCTGAAAAACTCACTACAAGAATCATATAATACAAGTGGGACAATTAACAGCAGAGTAGATCAAGCTGAAGAAAGAATCTCAGAGCTTGAAGACTGGTTCTTCAAATAAAAAATGAAGACGAGTTCTTCAAACAAAAAATAATGACAAAAGCAAAGAAAAAAAGAAAAAAAAAATGAACAAAACCTCCAGGAAATATGAGATTATTTAAAGGTAGCAAACCTTTGGCATTCCTGAAAGAGAGGGAGAGAGGACAAGCAACCTGGAAAACATATATGAGGATACTGTCCAGAAAAATTTCCCTAACCTCGCTAGGTTCTTGACCTTGAGAGGCTGACATTTAAACTCAGGAAATGCAGAGAACCTTTGTGAGATATTATACAAGACAACCATTACCAAGACACATGGTCATCAGATTCTCCAAGGTCAACATGAAAAAAAAAATTAAAGGCCACTAGAGAGAAGGGGCAGGTCACCTACAAAGGGAATCCCATCAGGCAAACAGTGGACTTTTCTGCAGAAACCATACAAACCAGAAGAGACTGGGGGCTTATACTCAGCATTCTTACAGAAAAAAATTCCAATCCAAAATTTCATATCCAAACAAACTAAACTTCATAAGCAAAGGAGAAATAAAACCATTTTCAGACAATGAATGCTAAGGAAATTCATTACCACCAGACATGTCTTACAAGAGGTCCTTAAGCTAAACGTGGAAACAAAAGACTATTACTGGCCACCACAAAAAACACACTTAAGCACATAGACCACTGACACCATAAAGCAACTACAATGAAGTCTGCACAACAACCAACTAACAAAATGATGACAGGATCAAATCTGCACATAACAACATTATTCTTGAACATAAACAGGCTAAATGCTGCCCTTAAAAGGCACAGAGTGGTAAGCTGGATAAAGCAGCAAGATTCAATGGTATGCTGTCTTCCAAGAGATCCATTTTACATGCAATGACACTCATAGACTCAAAGAAAATGGATGGAGAAAAATCTACCAAGCAAACAAAAAAAACAAAAAACAGCAGGGGTTGCTATTCTAATTTCAGACAAAAGAGACTTTAAAACAACAAAGAACAAAAAAGACAAATAAAGGCATTAAATAAGGATAAAGGGCTCGATTCAACAAGAAGACTTAAGTATCCTAATATATATGCACCCAACAATGGAGCACCAGATATATAATACAAGTTCTTAGAAACCTATGAAGAGACTTAGATAACCACACAATAATAGTGGGAGACTTCAATACTCCACTAATAGTATCAGACAGATCATCAAGGCAGACAACTAGCAAAGATACTCAGGACCTGAATGTGATACCTGACCAAATGGATCTAAGTGACGTCTGCAGAACATTCCACCCAATAATAACAGACTATGCATTCTTCCCAACTCTACCTGGCACACACTCTAAAATCAACCACATGATTGGCTATAAAACAATACTCAACAAATTCAAAAAAATGAAAATCATACCAACCACACTCTCAGACCACAATATAAAAAAAAAAACCAGAAATCAGTACTAAGAAGATCTCTCAAAACCATGCAATTAAATGAAAATTAAACAACTGGATGACTTTTGGGTAAAAACAACGAAATTAATGCAGAAATCAAGAAATTCTTTGAAACTAATGAAAACAAAAATACAACATACCAGAATCTCTGGGACACAGATAAAGCAGTGTTAAGAGGAAAGTTTATAGTGCTAAATGCCCATATTGAAAAGTTAGAAAGATCTCAAATTAACAACCTAACATCACACCAAGAGGAACTAGAAAAACAAGAGCCAATCAATCCCAAAGCCAGCAGAAGAAACAACCAAAATCAGAGTTGAACTGAATACAATTGAGACAAGAAAAAGCATATAAAAGACTAATGAAACCAAAAGATTATTCTTTGAAAGAATAAATCAGATTAGGAAAAAGAGAGGCCGGGTGCGATGGCTCACAACTGTAATCCCAGCTTTGGGAGGCTGAGGTGGGGAGACTGCTTGAGTCCAGGAGTTCAAAACAAGCCTGGGCAACATTGGGAGACCGTGTTTCTACAAAAACACAAAAGTTAGCAGGGTGTGGTGGTATGTGCCTGTAGTACCCAGCTACTCTATTTGGGAAACTGAGGTGGGAGGATTGCTTGAGCCTGGGAAGTAGATCATATCACTGCTCTCCAGCCTGGGTGACAGAGCAAGACCCTGCCAAAAAAAAAAAAAAAAAGAAAAGAAAAGAAGGGAAGGAAAGAGGGAAGAACAGAAGGAGGGAGGGAGAGGATGGATGGAACGGACAGAAGGATGGATGGAAAGGAAGGAAAAGGAGAGAAGATCCAAATAAACGCAGTCAGAAATGACAATGGACATAACATTGACCCCAGAAATATTAAAAAAAAGAAAACCTCAGAGGACTATTATAAAACACCTTTTAATCACAACAAACTAGAAACCTAGAAGAAATGGAAAATTCCTGGGAAACTACAACCTTCCCAAAGGATAGGAACCAGAAAGAAAATTGAAACCTTGAACAAATCAATATAACAAGTTCCTGAAATTGAAGCAGTAATAAAAAGCCTACCAACAAGAAAAAGGCCAGGACCAGACAGATTCACAGCCAAATTCTACAGACATAATAAAAAAAAAAAAAAAACCTGGCACCAATTCTACTGAAATTATTTCAAAAAAGTAAGGATGAGAGACTCCTCCCTAATTTATTCTATGAGGCCAGCATCATTTTGATACCAAAACCTGGCAGAGACACAATATAAAAAAAAAAAGAGGAAAGAAAACATCAGGCTAATACTCCTGAAGAACATACATGCAAAGGTCCTCAACAAAATACTAGCAAACCAAATCCAGCAACATATTCAAAAGCTGACCCACACCCACAAGCATCTGAGCTTTGAAAAAGTTGACCAAAAAAAAGATAAGCAATGAGAAAAAGACTCCCTGTTCAATAAAGGGTGCTAGGATAGTTGGCTATCCATACGCAGAAGAATGAAACTGGGGAACTAAGTATCACTATATATAAAAATCAACTTAAGATGGATTAGACTTGAATGTAAGACCTCAGAGTATAAAACTCT